TTTTCACAAGAAAAATATCATGGCACACTGATGAGTGATGATTGTGTGTTTTTTTAAGAATATAAGAAAAAAATGGACATTGCCCTCAGGAAGTATTCGTTTAGTTTGCGGACTTCTGCTCTGAAGCCTTGAGTTTGACAGTTTACTCTTGACATGTTGGGTGCATTGGAAACAGATGTGATGTACAAAAAATAGATCTGAAGACATTAAAGCATATTCATTTGGTGCTAGTTATTGTATTCATATCTACCAATAAGAATCAACAATTAAAGGTTTTTGAAGATATATTTTTGCTGATACCATCCCTTTTGTTTACGTGGAGTGGGCAGGACTTAAAATATGTACTGGGACCAGCCTACAGGAAAGCTGGTCAAGTTCAAGCTTCAACTTTCAGGGTCCTTTCTTTTGACTTCTTCTATGGTCGATGTTAGGACCACAAGCAGAAGGAAAACAGAAAAAAACTTCTGTTTGTAAGAGATACCACAGAGGCCCAAAGGGAACATTGGTGAAAACAATATTTAAAATAGGTTTCTCATGCACACGAGCAATATGGTGCTCATGCAATAATATCTTGTGTCTAATGCACCAACTAATGCTACGCACAAGAGACTATCCAGTGTAATTTAATACCTGTTTTCAGTTTGGAAAGTGATTAAGAAATTTATGTGAGCTACATTTTGATCTCAGATTGTTCTTAGAATGTTTTGACAACAGATACATAGTTTACCCTTTTCAGAATGAGAAGAGGACAGGGGAACAGTTAGGGGAATGTGGTAAAAAGGTTAGAAAATCTAGGCAGGATGGAGAATTGTTTCAGGAGTGATGTGTGACAAAAGGGTGGCAGTTTAAAAGAAGTAGTAAGACCACCTACAGTATGTTGCATGGTTTGAAGACAGAGACAATGACGAAAAGACAGGAGACAGAAATGGAAGTGGAAGCTTTTAATCATGTTGCACCGATGCAACAGCTTTGCAAGCTGCTTTTTCTTTCTTTAAAAGAAAATGTGACAGGTGAAGCCACAGCATGCTTACTACCTTATTAATAATTACTGCCTTTTTTCTTTTCTCTGTGGGTGGGTCAGCTTCACTCAGCTGCAGGTGAACACCTCCCAGGAACGCACACGTTTCCTGGACTATTTTCCACCGAGGATTACATCGTATGTTATATTTATTATATTTCTAAAAGCACTTCGCAGCATTTCCCCCATGTGTTCACGTCACGAGCGCAACAAAACCGTGACGGATCAGCTGACTGTTTTTAAAGCGAGGTGCAGCGAACATGTCCACCTGCAGCTCGGCTCCGACCAGCCCGGGACTGAAGAGTTCACATGTCAACCTCTTCGGACGTTTAACGTGTATAATGAGCATCAAAAAAATATAATTCGCGCAAAACAACAGTATTAATCACGCGGGTGGGGTGGAGGTGCGCTGACCTCAGCTGTGCGGGGTGGGGAGGAGGAGGGGTGTCTTTTAAAGACGTGTCTACATTTGACTTTTATTTTTTCTAAAATCACAGAGTTTTCTGAGTCAGCTTCAGATGTTTGTAGTTAATCATAATACCTTCTAAATTTAACCAGGTGTTTCAATGCCTTTAAATTACACAAT